CCTGATTTGATTCCTGTGGTGTAACCGGAGCACATGGCCTTTATATGATTATATGAGGGGGGTGTTTGTTGCAATGCCTCTGGGTTATCTTGTGTTGTGTGTGCTAATTCAAACTAGCATAAGCCCTCTAATGACCACTAATTGCTGTAATGAATTAGTTACAGTGAGTTCTAGAGAGAGGACAGTGTGGACACAGGCTTCACACACATATGTACATACACATACATGCACACATACTTATGCACATACAGTGCACACATTCACATGCTCTTGCTCTCGCAAATACTCTTGCTCATGCACATACTCATACTAGGGGTGTAAGAAAAAATCGAGTATTCACTTGAGTATTGCGATATTTTATTTTGCAATACTGTATCGATTTTCAGAAATCGATTTTTATTTATTTATTTATTTTTTATGCATAGACGCACCACTTGCCTAACGTTTTGCTAGAAACAACATAGCTATAGCTGAACCCGTGTAAAGACCGGCTCCCTGCTCTATTCCGTTTGGAAGTGTGGAATCATTTTGGTTTCCAGAGTAAAGAGGGCACTAACGATATCGACAGGAACCATGCAGTTGTGAACTCTGTCTTTACAAGTTCGGCGTGTTAGAAGCGGGGTATTTTTTCGTCGTGCATGTTAATCAATGAGTCTCGTGCGTTCATTCATACCGCGAGCAGTAGCCGCGCATAAGCGTCAAGCTGGACCGTCGCGTGAGCAACAGCGAAACGGGGGTTTCGGCGGAGAGTCTATAAGGGCGTCGCACACCAGACGAGAAGCTCAGTGCCACATCTTTAAAATTCGAACACATTATTCTCTGTGAGTATGTGAGTTTGAGTTTTATAATAATGGCTATAATTACTGTAACTAACTGTATATGTTTTTCCCATTAAACTGAAATTAAATAAGATTCAATGTTTTTTTTTGTTTTTTTTGCATATTGAGAGAGATCAAATTCAAGAGAGATCAAATATAAATCTAACCATATAAATCATTGTATAAATCATGTATAAATCATTTTCTTTCCAGTATTCCTTGATAAATACGTTCAAAGAACACAAGAAATTTGAAATAAAAATATTTTATTATTAACATTCTTTAAATGGTAGCATAGATCAAAGTTTGATTTATTTTTGTTAATGGATTCTTTTGAACTGTTTCAGTGAATTGTTTGCGAAACCTGATTTAATTTATTTGCATGATCAAAATCATAACTGATTTATTTGTGTTAAATATGCCATCCTCTCTGACTAAATTCTAAATGAATGCACTACTAAAAAAATTCTACTTCTGTGACTGCCTATGTCACATTTTATGAATGAATTTATATTTTATGAATGACCATTTTTTAATGCTAATATAATCATATCACGTGTGTTTATCCACTTTAAACTTTAGTTAGTATTTATGGGCATTTCTCATGAGATTGATGTCTGGCAAGTGGGAACTCTGTGCCTTAGGGTAATTGTTCAGAAACGACAGCCATTTTGGCTCCGTTCCCAGGGAAGCTTTCATTCAGATGTGCAAGAGGGGGCAGGTTGAGAGAGAAAGTTTTACAAAGTGCTGGAAAGCCAGAGAAATTAAACACTGGAGATTTTTAAAACATTACCTCATCGTGAAAGACCCCCCCATCAGCCGTGTGCAGAACGCATATAATTAACACACTCCGAATGGAAGCATTTAGCTGGAGTTGCCATGGAGACGGAGCTTAGGGCTCTGGTAGTGTAATTGTACCCAACCTGTGAAATAAACAGAAACACAGAGGGTGATCCTCATTTATAAACCCTGATATTGATTCACAGTTTTCTCATAATACTTTAAAACTGGTCGTTTCTCGACTGCATGTTCTCTCGCGTAGATGCTGATTGCCACTGCTTCACTTCACACAAACATTAGTGTGTGTTTCTGAGCGCCGTCACACACTCAAACAATCCTCTCGCGGATAAACATGCTATTACGCCCCTTGTCTCGCTGTGCTGTTTAAGTGCTCTGAGCTTCCCAAGGTCACAAGATGCTCAGTGTTTGACCGGGAATTAGTGGAAAGAGTTGCTTTAAAATAACATGGTGTGCAAATAAGTACTGTGGTGAAACTGTTGCACAATTATAAGATGTAACAGGTGGTGATTTTAATGTGTGCTGTGGCACTGAATGAGTGCTAATTAAGTGTATTTCTGTGTATGACAGATGCATAATAATACATTAAACAATGAGTCATAATTCTAATTTTTGAACGATGGTGGACATATACTTTATACATGCACTACTGTTCAAAAATGTGTCGTGAGGAAGAAATTTTTCAGTTACAAAAAAACTAATATTTCAAATGAATGCTGTTATTCTTAACTGTCCAATTTTGGTGAGCTCTTGCAAATTGTCGCCTTTTTTTCCTATTTGTAGTGGAGATGAGTGGTACCCGGTGGGGTCTTCTGCTGTTGTAGCCCATCTGCCTCAAGGTTGTGCGTTTTGTGGCTTCACAAATGCTTTGCTGCATACCTCGGTTGTAACGAGTGGTTATTTCAGTCAAAGTTGCTCTTCTATCAGCTTGAAGACTGGAAAAATGTTTCCTGGTCTGATGAGTCTCGATTTCTATTGAGACATTCAGATGGGAGAGTCAGAATTTGGCATAAACAGAATGAGAACATGGATCCATCATGCCTTGTTACCACTGTGCAGGCTGGTGGTGACGGTGTAATGGTCAAGTCAAGTCACATTTATTTATATAGCGCTTTTCACAATACAGATTGTATCAAAGCAGCTTCACAGTGATAACATGAAAGTAGTACAACACAGATCAATAATATTGTTAAATATTAAATAACCCCAACTAAGCAAGCCAAAATCAAGCCAAAAGCAAGGCGACAGTGACAAGGAACCAAAACTCCATCAGATTGGATGGAGAAAAAACCTTGGGAGAACCCAGGCTCAGTCGGGGGCCAGTTCTCCTCTGGCTTACATTTATATTGTTTATATATAAATAATAAATATAAATATTGTTTATGCATAAAACGACACCATAACATATCGCATGCGTTGAGTCGTCTCCTCACAGGCGTTGGTCTTCTCATCGCAGGCGTTGGGGCATCTGAATCCCCGTGAGAGGCTGGATACAAAACTGGACCTGACGAACGCCATTTTTCTCAGGACAAGTGTCCCGAGATAACAGCAGAAAGGCAGATGGGAAATAATTAGCATAGCTGATGTTCATAATGATTTCCATTATACGGGAGTCGGTGTTAGAAACCACTATCTCACAAACTCTCCGTAACCTGAACTCTCCGCAACCCAACCATACGCGCCGACCCGTTTGACTAAGGCTGTCGAGCCCCACTGTCGCGGAAATGCGTTTCAGTGGCAAACGGTACCGGTATGGCATAACAGAGGACTAAAAAGTAAGCATTATGTGAATGCTTGACTAAAGAGATGCGTCTTTAATCTAGTTTTAAACTTTGTCAGCGAGTCAGAGCCTCGGACCGTATCGGGAAGGCTAATGGTGTGGTGGGGATGTATACTTGGCACACTTTAGGCCCCTTAGTGCCAACTGGGCATGGTTTAAATGCCACAGCCTACCTGAGCATTGTTTCTGACCATGTCCATCCCTTTATGGCCACCATGTACCCATCCACTGATGGCTACTTCCAGCAGGGTAATGCACCATGTCACAAAGCTCCAATCATTTCAAATCAGTTTCATGACAATGAGTTCAATAAACTTAAACATGACAATGAGTTCAATGTACTAAAATGGCCCCCACAGTCACCAGATCTCAACCCAATAGAGCATCTTTGGGATGTGGTGAGAAGTGATGTGTGTGTGTCCTCGGCCTTCAGTGAGTCTCAGTATGTGCAGAGCGCAGTGTTGTAGTCGAGACCACCTCACTCGAGTCCGAGTCGACACCGAGTCCATAGAGAGTCGAGTCCGAGTCAAGACCGAGTCCATAGAAAGTCGAGTCCGAGACCAGATACGGTCGAGTCCGAGTCGAGACCAGTGAGGGTTGATTACCTAATTTACTTTTATTTACTTAGAGAAATCCTTTTTTTTTTTACTGAATTTACTTAGAGTTTAAAAAATATGATTCGAATATGATTATGAAAAATCACCAATCACTGGGCTTGTCAATCAATTTAAAGAAATATTTTATTAACATACATTAATAATCATGAAAAATATTTTTAATTGAACTCGAGTGGACTCGGGAATAATTCCGAGTACTAAAAAAAAAAAAATGTTCGAGTACGAGTCAATTCCGAGTCCAAATGGACACGAGTCCATGACAAGACCAAGACCATTAAAATATGGTCTCGAGTCCGAGTCTCGAGTACTACAACACTGGCAGAGCGTCTGATGTTTCTCCTCAGGAAAGCCGGCACCACTGAGACCAACACTCGTCCTCCAGCCTCATTCATATTCTATCACATTAACGTGGGATCAGTCTGATATCCAGACAGCTGGGACGTGTGTGTGTTCACTTTGCGACAGAACGCCTCTGTGGCTCAGTTTCGTTCTGTGTGTGTGTGTGTAGCCTGCCATTTCGGGCTTTATTCAAAGTCCGCATCTCCCAATGAGCTGAGGATGCAAACAGCAGCTGATCCAGAGTCAGCAAGATCCTCGTAACGCAGATAATGCCAGTGTCTCTGACTCGCACACAACCTTCACCTCTACATGCTCACCAGCAAACGATGAATGATTTTCTGCCTGATGAATAACTGTCTGCTCCTTTAACCTTAAGACCTCTTTGACGTTGTATTTTTTGCGTGCACGCATGAGAGGACAGGAAGCCATCTGTGTCGGTGAGGTCACCCTGAGCCAAAGTGTGTGTGTGTGTGTGTGCGTGTGTGTGTTCATGTATATATGCGCCTCATGAATGTACCTGCATGAAACGGACAGGTGTCACAACCTCATTACCCATCATCACATCTGATCATTCTACACTGCTCAGAGAGAGATATGTGTGTGCGGACATTTTATCACTCATTTGTGTGTCTGTGTGTGTGTGTGCAGGTATGACTACCGTGAAATGCTGCACAACTCCACCTTCTGTCTGGTTCCACGAGGACGACGACTGGGATCTTTCCGCTTCCTGGAGGCTCTGCAGGTGAACGTTCTTTCATTCTTTTCTCTTAGTTTCCTATTGCTTTTCATTTCATTTTGTTTTTCTTTTACTTTCTTTTTCTTTTTTTTTTTGTCTCTGTCTTTATTCTGCCTTCCTTCCTTTCTCATTTCCTTACTTCCTTCCTCACTTCTGTCTGTCCTTCCTTCCTTACTTTCTTCTTTCCCTCCTTCCTTCCTTCTATACTTTCATCTGCACTAATTTCGTTCCTTCCTTCCACACTTAATTCTGCACTTCCCTACTTCTTCCTTCTTTGTCTTCCTTCCTCACTTCCAAGCCTCCTTCTCTAAAGCGTTTAAAGTCTTCTTTCCCTCCTTCCTTACTTGCTTCTGTCCTTCCATCCACTCTTCCATCGTTAGTCTTTTCTGCATTTCTTCTTCACTTTCTTCTGCACTTTTTCCTTACTTTCATCCTTCCTTCCCTCTGTCCTTCCTTCTACACTTCCACCTCCACCAATTTCATTCCTTCCTTCCTCTCTTAATTCTGCACTTCCCTACTTCCTCTTTTCTTTTCCTTCCTTTCTGCTTTGCTTCCTTCTGCATGTCATTCCATTCTTTCATCCTTTCTTGCACAGTTATTTTCTTCTCATTTCCTTGCGTTCCTCCTTACATTCCTTACTTCCTCTCTTCCTTTTGCATTTTCATTCCTTCCTTCCACACTTCCTTCTACACTCACTTCCTGCACTTACTTACTTCCTTCCATATTTTCCTTTTTTGTCCACTACCCATCTTTGCTTCCTTCCTTCCTTCCTTCCTTCCTTCCTTCCTTCCTTCCTTCCTTCCATATTTTCCTTTTTTGTCCACTACCCATCTTTGCTTCCTTCCTTCCTTCCTTCCCCCCCTAATTTTGCACTTCCATACTTCTTACTCCTTTCTCTTCCCCCCCTTTCTTCATTCCACCTTCCCTCCCTTCCTCCTTCCTTCCAAATCGCAAACACTCATGATACTAGTTCTAACTACATCCTAAGTCTTCCTTATTGTAACTGTAATTAATACATTAGTTGGCCCACTTATTAACCTTTCTCTTACTAACATTCATCACTCCCACTACTTGCTTGAATGAGATTTTATCATAATGATATTTTCTGAAATTTGTGACCTTAGCCCTCACACTCACACACAGCACTTTTTCACCAACACATTGCTGTCCTCTGTGTGTCCACTAGAGCTCGATCCTCAGCTCACACCGTTATGACCTCTCGAGTGACAGGTCCTCATTACATCACACACACAACAGCTCGTCCCTCTATTTCCTCACACAATCTCACACACTTCAAAGTAAACTCACTTTTCTCTCCTCAACCTCTGCTTTACAGCATTTTCCCCCAAACTACACTTCCAGTCAAAGGTTTTGGATCGGTAAGAATGTAAAAAAAATTAAATAATAATAATATTGTGAAATATTATTGCGATTTAAAATAATGGTTTTCTATGTGAATATATAGTAAAGTGTAATTTATTCCTGTGAATTTTCAGCATCATTACTCCAGTCTTCAGTGTCACATGATCCATCAGAAATCACTCTAATATGATGATCTGATGCTCAAGAAACATTTATGATTATTATCAATGCTGAACACAGTTATGTACACTTTTATTTCACGATTCTTTGATGAATAGAAAGTTCAAAAGAACAGCATTTATATGAAATAGAAAGCTTTTGTAACATTACACTACTGGTCAGGGGTCAGTAAGAATTTTATTTTATTTTTGGGTGGAAAGAAATAAAATAAATCAGTACTTTTATTCATCAAGGATGATCTAAAATATTCTGTTTGAACTTTCTGTTAATCAAAGATCATGTGACACTGAAGAGTGGAGTAATGATGCTGACAATTCACAGGAATAAATTACATTTTAAAATATATTACATTTAAAAAAAAAGTTATTTTAAATTGTCATAATATTTAACAATAATAATGTTTATTTCTTTAAATTTTCAATCAAATAATTGTGGCCTTGGTGAGCAGAAGAGACTTCTTTTAAAAACATAAATAATCTTACGGATCCAAAACTTTGGACTTGTAGTGTGCATATTTTCTCTGTGTATTTTCTGTAACATGTAACTCTATCATATGATCTGGCATTCATTGGAAGCGATTTAATATGCGCCTCTTTGTGTTTGTCCTGTTTCTCATTTATTCTCTCTTTGTTCGGTCTTGTAATCAAAACACGGCATGTATGACTCACGCCGTGACCCCGTGTGTGTGTGTAGGCGGCCTGTGTGCCGGTCATGCTGAGTAACGGTTGGGAACTCCCCTTCTCGGAGGTCATCGACTGGAACAGGGCGGCTGTGATCGGGGACGAGAGGCTCTTACTGCAGGTCTGAAACACTGCTTTTTATTTACTACGTACTTTCCAGGATCTCAGTTGTATCCTTTAATAGTGGAACCAGCCAGATCACATGATGTGGTTCGAGCCCTTGGTTTGGGCTGGTTAAGCATATTCAAAAACACGAAGCCCATGCCAGTGAATCCCAACCAGAGATTTGTATGCCAGGGAGGTTTCAGGATTTCCTTTGTTAAGAGGATTAATTCACCCCAAAAAATGGAATTGTCATAATTTAATGCTCACTCACTCACTCTCTCACACACACACACACACACACACACACACACACGCACGCAAACTCACACACTTACACGCGCAACCTTGCTCTCACACACACACATACACGCACGTAAACTCACTCACTCACTCACACACACAAGCAAACTCACTCACTAACTCGCGCACACACACACACAGACACTCACTCGCACTTACTTAAACACACTCACACGCATGCAAGCACACATGCTCACTCAATCACTCACTCTCTCACAATCACTCGCACACACGCACGCACGCACGCACACACAGACACTCACTTACTCACACGCTCACTCACTCACTCTCTCTCTCTCTCACAATCACTCTCACTCACTCTCTCACAATCACTCACACACACACACACGCACACACACACACTCACTTACTCACTCACTCACTCACTCACTCTCTCTCTCTCACAATCACTCACTCACTCTCTCACAATCACTCACTCACACACACACGCACGCACGCACACACAGACACTCACTTACTCACACACTCACTCACTCTCTCTCTCTCACACTCACTCACTCTCTCACAATCAATCACTCACTCACACACACACACACACGCACGCACACACAGACACTCACTTACTCACACACTCACTCACTCACTCACTCTCACAACTCACTCACACACACACACGCACGACGCTCACTCACTCACTCACTCTCTCACAATCACATACTCATCTCGCTCTCTCTCACAATCACTCACTCACTCACACACACACACGCACGCACACTCACTCACACTCACTCACTCTCTCACAATCACTCACTCACTCACACACTCATTCTCTCTCACACTCACACACACGTACACACACAGACACTCACTTACTCACACGCACACTCACTCTCTCTCTCTCACACTCACTCATTCACATAACACAAAGCCCATGCCAGTGATTCCCAAACAGAGATTTGTATGCCTATGGAATTAATATTGAGCCAATAAAAATGAACGTAACTTTTCAAGAAACGAATGAAAATATAAATTGAAACTGAATAAAATATCTTTGAAACTGAAAAAGAATGAACCGCAAGCAATTTTTTTGACTTTGTTTTTAATACACTACATGTTTTGCTAACTATTCCTCATATTTCGTTTACTGATCTACACTTACAAATGCGCTTCCAGAGTTTTCATTTACGCTTCTGAAGTTTTCGTTTACACTCCCTGAGTTTGCGTTCGCTGTTCGGACAAAAATCTCTCGTGGGGCGGGGCTAGTAGCAGTCTATTCTCATTGGCTACTGAGTTTTTGATTGACAGCTTCTTGACCTGGAAGTGAAGACGTCAGAGTTGTGTTTACACGTGTGGATGTGAGCGTCTGTAAGCGCAGCTTTCTATTTAATTTTAGTGATATTAAGTTATGTTGTTTTTTAATTTTATCTGTATTTACCTTCTGCTGCGATTACTTTGTCAACAGAAGCTTTTAGGTTCACAAGAGATCAGTCTATTCAGGTGTAATTGTACATCAAAGTAGGCCCACTGTATATGACTACTTAAAATATTTTGTCCAATGTTTTAGGAGGAATATTTGTTTATTCTTGATGATTCGTTTGCATGTTAGGCTCTGAATAGGTTGTGCTATTACAAGAGAATAGCCTACTAGTATACGTGTGTGATATATTCAGCAGTCAAGAAAGTTTCACTTCAACCAGGTAATCAAGGTTGGCAACCATGGCCATCAAATTTCTCATTGTTACCATATGCATTTACACCATCAAATGATCATGTATGATCACTTAAATAAGAGGAATTTAAACTATATGAAAATTACAATCGTGGGTTGCTGTCAGATGATACAGACCTCAAAGGGCATTTCATTACATATTTCACACAAAGAATATTTTTGTTGGTATTTTTTTAATCATGCTGATCATTTTATTTATTTCATTTTGTTAATATTATTTTCTAACATTTAAAATGGTAAATATATTTGAACAATCATCAACAGGTTCAATTATGACTTATAAAATCAGTTAAATGAATTTAAATAAAAAATCTAATAAATTTATTCATTCTTTATTGTCACTACAGCATATACACAAGTATCCAAGTGAAAGTCTTGGATGCAGTTATGACAGGAAAGACCAGAATCCACAAAACATTAACTGCATACTATACATGTAATGCACAGTATTCTCATAATATAGATAATAAAATGTATAATCACAAAGATTTTTAATGAAATAATACATCTCTGTGAGTCCACATAACACAAGTGGATTGTACCCATGTATGGCAGTTGGTCGGAAATTATTTTTAATAGTTAAAACAGTTTACATTATTAGTATTTTTTTTTTTTTATTCTATTGTTTCACTTCAGTATTGATTCATCCACTGAGGTCACATGGACATCACGGTCACTGTGTGTGGTTTTTAAAGCATCTTTAGGGCTTGCAGAGATGGATTACTTTCCTTAAAATCTTAATTCGTATTTATCTGTAGAAAGAAAGTAAAATGCATCTGGGACAGCATGAGGGTGAGTAAAATAAGTGAGAATTTTATTTTTGGATGAACTATTCGCTGTTGGTATGCTAATCCATGATCAGCAGAGACTAATAAGAATAAACTGCAACCTCTTGTGTACTGTGTTTGTTTTAATCTAGAGCTCCAAAGAAATTAAAATATTTGCTATTTTATAATATTAAAATAAAATACAACAGGTGTCTGAAGATAAGGATCCCAGTCATTCAAAGGTGATATGTCTGAACAAAGTAACATTATTGTCTGATGGAGACGCTGATCTCTGGTATTATCACTCCATCCTCTGTGTCAGCATCAGAATTTTGTTTGTGGAAAAGTTGCTCAAATCCCTGGAAAATGAGAAAGGAAATATATTATAATCTAACAATACAAACTGCTTTGAACTCCCACATGCAGTAACCATTTGCAGACTTAAAATAATTATTTCAAACAAATTATATAAATGTTTTAAGGGATTTTACAGTACCAAATGTTTACCTGACTCACACACCATTTATCATCTGTAATACTATTGTATAACCAGTAGATGGCTCTATAGCCCAATAAACATTTATCCATGGCGGTGTAGCGTCTACTCCCTAGTTGCTGGATTTCTTCAGTCATAATTACTTGCATGTATTAGGTTTTGAATTTGGATATATATATATATATATATATATATATATATATATATATATATAAATTATTAAAGACTATTAAAAATTCAAAATTTTTCTCAAAAATGTTGGTTTTTTTTAACATAATTATTACTAAAATATGGATACAGAAAAAGCATTTTGTTGCCTTTTGCAGAATAAATATTGCGCCCAGGGTTATACTTCAAAACAAATGAGTGTTTACATATTATGAATGGAGACGTGGAAAATGGTCAAGTACTCTCTCTCTTCTTTTAAAAACTCTGCATCACAAATTAATCAGCAATTGGCTTTACATTGCCAAAGTTGAACCGGGCAGTGATTGACAGGGCTCTGGTCCAATGGCATCGGTCATTGTCTGATACAGTACATTTTGTACTGTAGGCTACACTACAGATACTGTACAGTACTCTAGCACAATGTTGTTTGGGGTGGCAGAGGGGAAATATGATCTAATTGAAGCAAATATGATCTAATCGAAGACTGTAACCGTATGTAACGTTAGATAAACAAGACATGTAATGATTGGGCTAACAACTTACCAATTAAATCAAGACAACACTGCTGTATAATGTTATGGGCTCTCACTGAGCTCTAATATGCCTCTCCACCTGAAAAAGCAAGAACTGTATTATAATTAGTATTAGTTTAGTATTAATTAATAAAAATAATAAAAACAATCAGACTTACCACGAGTAGCCTATGCTATCCAGTATTCTGATATCGACGATGACAAATTATATCATTTGTCTGTACTATTCCTTCTATAAGAAATCATATCAACAATATAGTGTAGCAGTAAATAAATAAAGAAATAAACTTAATATCACCTAAATGAAATAGAAAGCTACGCTTACAGACGCTCACATCCAAACGTGTAATCACAACACTCACTGACGTCTTCACTTCCAGGTCAAGAAGCTGTCAATCAAAAACTCAGTAGCCAATGAGAATAGACTGCTACTAGCCCCGCCCCCACGAGAGATTTGTGTCAGAACAGCGAACGCAAACTCAGGGAGTGTAAACGAAAACTTCAGAAGCGTAAATGAAAACTCTGGAAGCGCATTTGTAAGTGTAGATCAGTAAACGAAATATGAGGAATAGTTAGCAAAACATGTAGTGTATTAAAAACAAAGTCAAAAAAATTGCGGTTCATTCTTTTTCAGTTTCAAAGATATTTTATTCAGTTTCAATTTATATTTTCATTCGTTTCTTGAAAAGTTACGTTCATTTTTATTGGCTCAAAATTAATTCGATATATGCCAGAGAGGATGCAGAATTTCCTTTGTAAAAGGATTAAATCACCCAAAAATTTGAGACTTGTCAACATTTACTCACCCTGTTGTCGTTTCAAACCTGCATGACATTCTTCCGATGCCATTCAATTAAAAACAGACATTTCTCAAAATATTTCTCTGAAGAAAGTCATGCAAGTTTGGAATGACATGAGGGTGAACACATGAATATAGTTTCATTATTCTCTTTAAACCTACAAAACAGGAATTATGACTAATTGTATTATAGCTATCAAAAGATTTTTAAAAGAATCAGCTAAACTTTGTAGTTAATTTTTAAAGAACAGTAAAACAGTATTGGGGTTGTGTTCACTCAAAGGGACTATTTCAAACTTGTTAAGCTTTGATTATAATTTCATACAAAAACTGCAATTTAGATTAGATTTAGATTAGTTAAATGTCCCACCAGGACTCAATTATAAATACTTTTAAGGTCTTTCTCAGAGAAGGTTTCTCTATGATTGTTCCCTAAACTGAGGAAATGTGACTCGAAACAAGCGCAGGAATCGTACGGGAAGCGGTTCACTTGCGTTTCACCCACAATAGTACAACAAAATTGTATTATTGTTAAAAAATACTAATATTAATCGTAGTAATGCCTTGAAATAAATAAGAATAATAATAACAATATTAATGATAATTCTTAATGTATTAAGAATTGTTTGAAAGAATTGTTTGTAGTAATAATAATAATTCTCATTTTTATCATCTAAATGACAATCCTAAAGGATATCCAACATAAAATGCATTTACATAAATACATATTGGTTTGAATTAGGTTGAAACACAGGATAGTGTGAAGAAAAAACAGCTTGAACGAGTTCGAGTAAGCATCTTAGTCTGGTGTTTCCATTAGGACAATACAGAAGATTATTCTCGTTGAATCGGTTTGATTTGTGTAACCAAGCGATATGAGATGCTGATGTTCATCTCCCTCTCCCTCTCTCTCCCTCTCTCTCTCTGCAGATCCCGTCCACGGTTCGCTCCATTCATCAGGATAAGATCCTGGCTCTGCGACAGCAAACGCAGTTCTTGTGGGAGGCGTATTTCTCTTCTGTGGAGAAGATCGTGCTCAGCACTCTAGAAGTGAGAAGACTGTTCAGTCACACACACACACACACACACACTCTCTCTCTCTATCTCACTCACTCACTAAAACACAAACTCACACTCTCTCTCTCTCTCTCTCTCTCACTCACTCACTCACTAAAATGTGCACACACTCACTCAATTCAATTCAGAAAGCTTTATTGGCATAACAAAAAATACATTTTGTATTGCCATAGCATCAAAACAACATAGAAATAATAATATGATATCATAAAACAATAATAATAAGATAAACAAAGATTAATAAATAAAACGATTAATTCTAAAAGGATTTATAAAAAAACAATATTGAACATTATATACGTGTGTAGGTCTTAGGCAGAGAGTGTGTGTAGGTCTTAAGCTGTGAGTGAGAGAGAGTGTGTGTGTGTGTGTGTGTGTACAGTAGGTCTTAGGCTGCGAGTGAGTGTGTGTTTATTGGACTCTCTCTCTCTCACTCACTCTTACACACACACACTCTCTCTCTCTCTCTCACACACACACACACACACACTCTCACTCACTCACTCTTACGCACTCTCTCTCTCTCTCTCTCTCTCTCTCTCTCTCACACAAACACATACACACACACTCTCTCTCACTACACTCTCTCAATTCAATTGAGCTTTATTGGCATGACTGTAAAATAGCACAATATTGCCAAAGCAATAGTAATATATAAACATATATGTAGATAAATAAAAGTGAAAAAAATTATAATAAACAACAATAAAAAAACATTTCCAAAAAAAAAAATATATATATATACAATAAGTACAGAGAGCAGTTTAATGGAAAAGAGGGTTCAGCCCTTCTCCCTCATATGATGGCAGGAGGACACGTACTGCGCTGCCAGGTGAACACACTCTTCTTTTTCTCCCAAAATATAAGACAGTTTGTTTATGGGGCTCACTTGTTGGAATTGAGGTACAATCTGAGCTATTTGTGTGAAATAAGCGTCTCTGATGTTTTTATACTTGCTACACTCGGTGAGGAAGTGCAACTCGTCCTCTACGGCCCCATCAGGGCAGTGCGGACACACTCGGAGCTCTCTCTCTCACTCCACAGCTGTGACACAGGCTGTGTTCAAATGTTTTGACAAGAAGTCTAGTATTATGCTGATTTATTAGGGGTTATGTAAAGTGTGTACGCGTTCACATGCCGTGTTTAATTCTATATGTCTCCTTTATGAGTGTTGGGGAAGTGATGCGTGGCTTCGGTTCAGTGACCTCAGAATTATTAGCTTGACTAATTGTACAATGTAATATTAATTGTAATTTGCAATATCCAAACATGAAACCTTATTTTCAATAGAATAGAAGAATCCTGAACAACAGTTTTCATCATTGATAATAATCATAAATATTTCTTGAGCATCAGATCCTCATTTTAGAGTGAATTCTGAAGGATCATGTGACGCTGAAGACTGGAGTAATGATGCTGAACATTAACAGGAATAAATTACACTATCATATATGAAAATAGAAAACAACATTACTGTTTTGTATTTTTAATCAAATAAATGCTGCCTTGGCGTCTAAAACTTTTGACTTGTCCGCTTTAGTTTCTGGTATTTATATATGAAGTATGTTCTGAGAAAGCTTTGTCAGTGCGCCGGCTCCTGCTTTAGATCGCTCTATGTTTAGCCAATGACAGTGTCATACAATTCACAAGTGTCTACAATCAACAAATCACAGTAATTAACCTCACAAGACAAGCTCGTGACAGCCTCACACAGCGTCAGTGCGATTACAGATCGCCTCCGAAGAGTTGCGCTCATCCGCTGGAAGATTGTGGCCCTCGTGCTGCGAGATTGAGTCGTCAATCACACACTTCAGTCAGTAAACGCAGGGCTGTTAGCCGAGCTGGAGGAGCGCTCTTTCATCAGCCTCTCAGATTGGGTTTTTAAGGTGACAGGTGGGGTTCTGCAAGGTTGCAAGACCACGGTTTAATATCAGCGCCATGTCAAGCGGTTATTGACTGCGTCGGGGGAGCGAGAGGAAAACACTCGCGCTTTATTTTGGTCACCTCTGATGAGCTTTTGAGTTGTGAACGTTGTTAATGTTTGGGGAAAAGGTGTTTTTTAGCCTTAGTTGGAAGACGAGTCAAAAGATGCATCATAACAACACAACATCATGACATAACATCATAACATCACAGCACATCATTGTAACAACATAACATCATAACATAACACAACATCATGACAACACAACATAATAACATAACATCACAGCACGTCATCGTAACATAATATCATAACAACACAACATCGTGACATAACATCACAGCACGTCATCTAACATCATAACACAACATAGTGACATAACATCACAGCACATCATCATAACATCACAGCACGTCATCTAACATCATAACACAACATAGTGACATAACATCACAGCACATCATCGTAACATAACGTCATAATAACACAACATCATGACATAACATCATAACATCACAGCACATCATCATAACAACACAACATCATGACTACACAAAATCATAACATCATCACAGCACATCATCGTAACATAACATCATAAGACAACATCGTGACATAACATCATAACATCACAGCACGTCATCGTAACAACATCATAACACAACATCGTGACAACATCACAGCACATCATCGTAACAACATAACATCATAACACAACATCAAGACATAACATCATAACATCACAGCAACGTCATCGTAACAACATACCATCATGACATAACACAACATCATGACATAACACAAAATCATGACAACACATCATAACATAACAGCACATCATCGTAACATAACATCATAACAACACAACATCGTGACATCATAACATCACAGCACCTCATCTAACAACATCATAACACAACATAGTGACATAACATCACAGCACATCATCGTAACAACATAACATCATAACACATCATGACATAACATCATAACATCACAGCACATCATCATAACACAACATCATGACAACACAAAATCATAACATCAACATCACAGCACGTCATTGTAACATAATATCATAAGACAACATCGTGACATAACATAATAACATCACAGCACATCATCGTAACATCATAACACAACATTGTGACAACTTCACAGCACATCATTGTAACAACATAACATCATAACAACACAACATCATGACATAACATCACAACATCACAGCACGTCATCGTAACAACATACCATCATAACATAACACAACATCATGACACATCACAAAATCATGACAACGCAACATCATAACATAACAGCACGTCATTGTAACATAACATCATAACAACACAACATCGTGACATAACATGACAGCACATCATCGTAACAAACATAACCATTAACATCATAACAACACAACATCGTGACATAACATGACAGCACATCATCGTAATAACATAACATCATAACACAACATCGTGACATATCACAGCACATCATCGTAACAACATAACACAACATCATGACACAACATCATGACATAATACAACATCATGACACAAAATCACAGCACATCATCGTAACATAACATCATGACATAACACAACATCATAACATCACAGCACATCATCGTTAAAACAACATAACACAACATCATGACACATAACACACATCATGACACAACATCATAACATCACAGCACGTCATCGTAACAACATAACATCATAACATAACACCACATCATGACATAACATCACAGCACATCATCGTAACAACATCATAACACATCATGACATAACATCATAACATCACAGCACATCATTATTACAACATAACATAACACAACATGATGACACATAACACAACATCATGACATAACACAACATCATAACATAACATCACAGCACTTCATTGTAAACATAACATCATAACACAACATCATGACAAATAACACATCATGACATAACATATCATAACACAGCATCATGACATAACATCACAGCACATCATCGTAACATAACACAACATCATAACATAACAGCACATCATCGTTGCAACATAACATAACACAACATAATGACATAACACAACATCATAACATAACATCACAGCTCATCATCGTTACAACAACATAACACAACATCATGACATAACACATCATCATAACATAACATCACAGCACGTCATTGTAACAACATAACATAACACAACATCATGACACATAAAACATCATGACACAACATAACATAATATCACAGCACGTCATCGTAACAACACAACATCATGACATGACACAGCGCGTCATCGGAACATAACAAAACATCATAACATAAGATCATAACACAACGCCAGTATAATTATCATTCAAATTATTTTTGAGAGAGAGAGAGAGAGGCTACATTTGTTTGATCAAAATAGTTAAAATAGCAATATTGTGGAATTTTGTTAAATGTAATTTATTCCTGAGATCAGTGTCGCGTGATCCTCCAGAAATCACTCTAATGCGCCGCATTGCTGCTCAAGAAACATTTATGATTATCAATGTTGTAAACAGTGTTATTTAGGATACTTTGATTTTAAAGTTTAAAAGAGCAGCATTTATTTGAAATAGAAAATTTTGTAACATTATAAATGTCTTAAATGTCAGTTGATCAACATTTTAATGTGTCCTTGCTGAATAAGATAAATTTAACTAATTAAAAAAAGCAAAAAACAAAACATAATATAATATATCATTATAATATATAAGGAAAGTACAATTATTTCATATGACATGGCAATTTTAAACCAAGGGAAAAAAATCAAAACTTTTTTGAAACCCCATTATTTTTGTGGTTTAGTTCGCTTGTTTCTGTACAATATGAATTGCTTGTTGTATTTGTTGTGCAAATTGTTCTGACATGCTTGATTAGTCCTAATTGTCATTATGCAGAACGAGTTCATCTTCCTCGTTCACCTCCCCATACACCTGAGCTAATTATGCGTCTGTGATCCTGTGTGTGTGCATATGCATATTTCTGTGCGTTGAATCTCAGCATCACACTGAAAGCTCTCCAGATGCGGCTCAGTTAAATTCGACAAGACCTTTTGTCATTTGTACAGCAAAAATGCCTCTAGCCTCGTATTATGAAGACACAATCTCAGACACTTGGATATGAAAACCCATTCCAGTTGCCAGCGATTAGGCTGTCAGTAAGCCAAGCCGCTTTCACACCAAAGGGCACAATATAAACCAAAAAAACGACGACAACGCCGTCAACACATCCTATCAGTCTTTGTCTGCTTTCACAGCATCTGAGAGCCTCACTCAAGGCCAGGGAAACAATCGCTGGAGAAACGGCGGATTTGTCATTCGTCTCGTAGTTTATAGACCCAGAGCTGCACCTCAACCTGAAGTTTCAATTGGAAACATTAATTTGGCCTTCACACAGCTCTCATGGCCGAGGACTTCAGCTGGAACTGTTTACGATCCGGGTTTGAAATTAACACGGTAAAGATCAACCGTGGCGGTTTACGCTACAGCCAATATGGCGTTTTACTTATTATTTACTCACTTTGCTGG